GTAAAATACCTCACAATCAATACCGATAAGCAAACCCTCCCTCGGTTAAAACTACCTGCAAATGCACCACTCTGACTGGAAAACCTTGCAGAAGTCGGTTTTCAAACAGGTGTCCTGCCCAGAGAGCAGTCCTAGTAGCTATCCTGTTTTAAAGGACTCCTTGCAAAAACATCGTTTGAGAGCAACATTTCCACTATTAATGCAGCCAGTGTGGAGTAAATGGGTCTATCTTAACAGAGAATCAGCCTTCCTATTTCTGACCTGTAGACTTCCAATCACTCTCTAATACTGAAGTCCAAGGACTCAGTAGGCGCATCTACATGTGCACTTAATGGGCCTGAATTTTTTGCACAGAAAAGTCAGGCTCATTGATGTGCTCCTGGGCACACGTCTACACATGCACCTGCATTGGCTGCATCCAGACAAGTACAGCCATGCAGTATGTGGCTCCACAGACATGTGTCCGGCACCACGTGTTTAGCTGCTCTCCACACTGCAAGGGAGCAGGTTGGGGGGGGCGGTGTTGACCCATGGATATCCAGGGGTCAAAAACACCACACACAAAAAAAGTGGAGCGGCGCGTGTGAGGTCAGCACATACCACTCAAAACCACTCAAAACCACAGGCTCCACATGGCAGGGCCCCTATTGCTGCAGCCTCAGGAAGGCCCCAGGACCTGAGGTAAGGCTACTGGAGCAAGCCCAGTGCTGGCCCCAGCCTCCCACCCAGGGTAACCTGCTGTGAACCAGACGGCACATGGCACAGGAGTTCCCTGGGGGCAACCAGTGGTAGTACAAGGGGGGGGCGCTGCTATTTGTTCCTGGGGAACCAAATGTCCATGCTCATGTGGATGAAGCCATCAGGAGCAAATTGCACCTGACAGGAGCAGCCCAGTCCAGGGCTGCTCCTTCCCTGCTCTGCCCCCCTGCAGCATCCAGGGGGAGCTCCAGGCACCCCCAGGTGCCATCCCTGGGGGCTGGCAGGGGGCATAGGGCTAGTCCTGATCTCCACCAGGCAGGGAGAACTGTGCCAGCTGCAGGGGCAGCTATCTTCCCAGCCATGTGGGGACTGGGACCCATCCTGAGCCCCATGTGGTAGGGAGACAGCTGCCCCTACAGCTGGCACAGCTCCCCCCACATCGGGGCTTAGCCAGGCCCCCCTGCTACCTGGGGTGATCAGGAGCAATTTGCTCCTGGTCATCATCTACATGTGTGTTATGGTGCATTAGCTAATGTGCCGTTTTTCCAGTACCTGTAGGTGCTGGTGCTATCACACAGGGCATTAGACTAATTTAATACACAGTACATTCCTCACATGTGTAGACAGTGACACTTTACTGTGCATTAGATTAGTTTAAGGCACAGTAAAGTGCCTCATGTGTTTAAATCTGGGGGTTCCCATAGGTTTGCTCCCAGAGGTCCCCATCATGGGGAGGACATCAAGCTAGTGGAAGTGAGGGAGAAGACTCACACGACATAATGAATCTGGAAGGCTACACCCTTAGGTTCCATAGATGTAGCACAACCTGTGTTGGGACAGACACAGAGCTGTTCCTAAGTTTCACAAGACAATTGCTCCTGAACTGTCCCAATCAGCTGAGTCTCCACAGAGGGTAGCCATGCTGAACACAACCCTTTGTGGGACAGATAAATGATTGTAGCAGGCCCACCTTTCAGAGCTTGGGTTGAGTCCCAGGCTTGAGATCCTGCTGTTTTGATTGGTGGAGCCCATCCACCAATCAGGAGGCATCAGGAGAAATAAAGTCATGCCCCTTTTCTGAGGGGAGGGGGAGGAGAGCTCCCCTGGACCTGATTGAAGACTGCAAACTGTCAGGTCTGGAAGACTTTGGGGTGGAGCCTGGAGCGCATAAAAGGAGCCACGTGCCCAGCGGGAGGGCTGGGGAAAGCTGGGGATCTCTCCCCCAGCAGGCAATAGGCCCAAGGCTCCTGAAGCTGCCACTGGAGGAGCAGCCTTGGGAGCGCTGCAAGACTGCTTGGGCTGTTGACAATGCACAGGGATGGTGTAGGGAGACCCGGCCCTAGGAGTGGTGTGAGACTGCTCAGGACCATCGTGGTGCACGGTTTGGTGTGTGGAGCCCAGGCTTTGGGAGCCACAAGCAGCGGCTCGAGCCTGCAACCCTGGCAGGACCAGCAGTCACAGTGTGCGGGGCAGCGCACGGGGCAAAGGCCTTGGGGCTACAGCGAGGCGGCTCAGGCCCCATCTCCTGGCAAGTGGCCAGGTCCCACGGTGCACAGGGCGGTGCATGGGCTCGAGCCTTGGGAGCCAGGGAGCAGCAGAGGCTGCTTGAGTACATGTATATGATATTTAGTTTTATGTTTATGTATGGTATAACTTAATAAATTGTATATAGTTAATAACTTTGGACTTGGGCAAACTCTGTAGAGGAAAGAGGGATCTGCTCGCAATTCTGGCATCCCTCTCATAGCACCCCCTCCTGCCTACCCTTCCCATCCGAGTGAGAACAGGGCATACCCTTGGGTGTACCTGGGTGTACCTTACATGATTCATGGGGAGCACTTAGGAAACCCCTACTGTAAATGCTCTTTTCAACACAAACACAGCATCATTTGTTCCATAGGGGAAAAGGCAAGAAACCAGGGGCTTAAATGGCAACAAGGATGACTTAGGTTAGCTCAGGGGTGGCCAACCTGTGGCACAGGCAGCCCACGTGTGACATGCAGCAGATCAGGGAGCAGGCAGCAGCACAGAGGCACCAAGGCAGGAAGCCCAAGCCAGGGTAACTGATCTGGCAGGGAGCACAGGCCAGGAAACAGAAAGCAGAACAGCAGATCAGGGAGGAGTAGGAGATCAGAGTGGCACTTGGGGAGGTGGTGGGGCTAATTCGTGGCACCCTTGCCAAAAAGGTTTGCTCCCACTGGGTTAAGCTATTAGAAACAGCCTGTGAACTGTGAGGGTGGTTAGTCATTGGGGACAGATTTCTGAGTGATCTTGTGGAGTCCCCAGCACTGGAAGATTTTAAGATCAGGTGAGACAAACGCCTGGCTGGCATGGTTTAGGCAGGGATCATCCTCTTGCATGAGCAGGAGGTTGGATTTAGTGACTTCCTGAAGTCACTTCTAGCCCTATGACTCCATGAACATTTCAAGCTTTCATTAATTGATGGCTACTAAATAGAGAAGTGGGATGGGGCTTGTCTGTGGGGCAGTGCAAAGCCTCACAGTCCACCCGGCCCTTCCTGCATTACCCGATGCAAATTATAACCCTCCCCACCACACATTGGCTCTGGCCTTCTGGGAGATGCATGAAATGGGGGCAGAGCCACAATTTTTTAAGGGAATGGTCCTAATGTTTCAATTTGCACTAGTATAAGTTAGCAGTAAGTTTGCATACTCATTCATGTGAGACTATTCCTTGGCCCTGCAGAGGTTCTGGTCAGTGGGCACTTGGCATCGATGGGGCAAACTCCAAACTATCCAGATGCTCAACCAAACCAAGATTCATGAGACTATAGAAGTGGGAAAAGTTCTTGGCTGGGCCAGAAGTATAAAAGAAAATCCCTTGGGGACTGTATGGCCCTTGGTCTGCCAAGATAATCATTATTAAGGTTACCATGATGCCTAGGAGAGCAAGTGGACTAGGACATTGTTGTGCTATGTGGTGGGCAAACCCACAACAGAAAGATAGCCTCTGGCCCAAAGTGCTTACCATTGAAGTATTTTTGGTAGAAAGCAAGAAATAACAACAGGTGCTCAAAAAACTATAATTGTTTGGCAGGCAGGGAGAAGACGCCGCTGCAGGAACCAGCCAGCTTTCCTTTTGTATAGAGGTGGGACGGAGCTGTGCCATGTGTGAGATAGGAAATTTCATTCTTGCAATTAGCAGCATCTGACATGGGAGACTGGGATCCCTGGCGGGGTGAGGGGTGACGTGCATAGGAGAGTGGGAACAAAGCTGACGGCTGGAACCGTGGGCTTGCATCCTACGATAACCAGAGTGGCTGGAATGGCTACTTACCCCAAATTGGAGCCATTTTCTTTTGAATCTGGAGCAAAGCAGAAATCTGCTTGGTTTGGAAGAGCTTTCCATTTTCCTGCAAATATCCCACACACCTCTCTGTGCTTTACAATCCCTCAGGGGCTGTAGGTCCATTAGCTCTCTCAACCTCACACTATCCACACAAAGCAGGCAAGTACTTTCACCAGCCAGGTATCTGCAGGAGGGAGCATGATTTCTTCTCGATGCATCCAGCTCCAGCCCCTTAAATGAACGTAAGCATCTCGGGTAGATGGAATTCACAGCATTTTAATGTGCTCAGTGTTCTCCAACTTCACCCGAAGCATGTCAAGTCAATCAACGTTGACACAGAGCTTCATCTCAGAATAGAAACAACTATACAACGGTGTTGCCTCCAATAACATCAGGACTCAAAAGTCCCCTTCTGGGCCAATGTAACTCTGTTCACTACCAAGGAGATGCTGGTTTGAAGAGAGGACTGTGAGCTTAGACACCAAATGTAGTCCTCATCCTGAGCAGCTTCCATCCCTAAATGCCTGCAAAGTTATACTGATGCAACTCGGAAAAAACCAGATGACCGCAGCGCTGACCATGTTCTTGTGTAGAAGGCAAAGAGAGAGAGGACTTTTTGGAGCAGACCTCTGGAGGTCCCTTCCAGCCCTACTTTTCTATGAAAAGCTATTTTGTAACCTGTTTTCCTCTGTTGCTGTAAGGGAGCCCGGATGGAAGGACCGATGCAGAGAAACGGGGCTGCTCTGTAAGGGGCACTGCTCACTAGGAACCTGGTATAATAAGGATGGAAGCATTTCCTCTGCCATTAAGAGCCCTTTCCTGCAATTCATCTTCAAGTAGGTTTTTCCCATTTTGTCACTGTCGAAGATGGGTTATATTGTTTGCCTGCCTTTTTTTGTGCTTCTAAAACCCTCTCAACTCCACCAACGGCCAGAACCCATTTCCTCATCTTTCCCCTGGGAAAAAGACCTCTTGTTCAATAGAAACCAACCCAGAATAGTGTTTATTATTGAAAATATACAATATTTCTGAACATCACATAAAAAGCCTAACTAGATGCACCTGTTCTAGTTCAAAATGATGAATAGATATTCTTTGTGCAGCATTGAGCACTATCCTCGTAACTCAGAAACCATCATCGCCTTTTTTTACAGAGCTTCCCTTTTTGAATCAAAAAACCAAGCAACACAATTGAGAAAATCCTCAGGGTGTCCCTTTGCCCTCCCCTACCTTCCCCCAGGTAAAAGCAAATAAAGACGTCCAAAGGTTATTTTACATAATGTCGAAACTATCGGGCTAAAGCGGAGATGAGTGAGAATAATTTATAGAGAGATCTAGAGATATTACAGAGTTTGAAGGTTTCAAAACCTTTTCTGTCCATAGGGCTGGCTTCGGACCAGACAAAGAGCCCACTGATTTCCATACGGGCCAATACCCTTCTATCAGGGGCAGACATGGAGAAGGTGTCCAAGTTCTGATTCTCCACAACACCTTCAACATCATCTTCCGTTTACTGCCTCGTGCACTTGAAGGCCAGCTCTGCAGAGGAGAAACTTTTTCCAAGAGCAAAGGAGGAGGTGGACAGGCTGCCGAGCAAAGTAGCTGGAACTGTTAGGCATGGAAAGATGCAACAAGGTGGGCGGTTCTTTAGAAAGTCTTTGGAGCCACCCTAGTTCAAGGGGAAAAAAACCAACCCGTGAAAAACCCAATTTTCCTTCCATCCGGCTGTCTTATTCTTTATGGCTACAGGCTGAAAATCTCTTCATTGAGCCAACAGTTTTGACTCCTGTTCTTCTTCCTACTTTGCTCCCTGCCCTCCCCACCCCCCCCCACACTGTCCTCTCCTATGTTATATATTTGGCTGGTTGCCTTAAAGCAGCATCGGGCATAAATGGATGAATGTCCACAAAGACACAAGGGGGTCACCTCACTGCCGAAAGAGCACGGTGCAAAGAAAAAGGAAGAGGGAAGGGGAAGAGAAAGGAAGAGAAGGCCTCTGGGCTTCTGTGCGATCAAACGGCCGCAGTCTGTTTGATGCTGTGGAAGCTGATCCTCGTCGGGGAGGTGGGAATAGACATGGCCCGGGCCACACGGACACGGAGGGAATGGTGGTCCTGCCAGCGATGCCATCTTTTCCTTGCGGCTGAGCGGACCTAATGGGAGAGAGAGGAAAGGATGTGAATACATGGACAGAGGTGGTCTCCCCCAGTCAAAGAAACACTCGATAGGAAGCCAACCCATATCTCCTTTACCATTTTCTGGGGCTTTACAGTCTATCTTAGGTGCTTCTACAGCACCTATCTCCATAGGCACTGAGCGCATGTAATGCATTTATCATCACAATGCCCCTGTGAAGCAGTGGAGTGTTATTCCCATTTTATAGAGGGGGAGATGAGGCATGGCTGACTAACCTAGGATTGAAATTGTAGCAGCCACAAACTTCCATGAAGAATAAGCACTGCAGTATGGACCTGGAGTCCAGGCCGGCTTGCACAGCTCCTATGGCTCCCCCTTGCTTGTTCTGCTAATTAGTCTCATCTCAGCTTCCCAGGGGCCCAGCATTATGGGAGAGTAGAGGGTACCCCCAGCCTGATGGTAAGTGCACTCTAGTGGGTGGTGGAAGATGTGGGTTTGAATCCCAAAAAGGCTCTTGAAGCCAGCTCCTCCCACTTCTTGGAGGAGTGCTTTAACCACTAGGCTTTGGTGCACCATGAATGTCTGTGTCTTAAAAGAAACAGAGGGAGCCAGTCTCCTGGATGCAAAGGGCCAACTGATGTGTCTATGCCTATGGGTGGGTCCCCAGCCTTGATCCCAGCCTCATAGAGACCCTCACACTTGTAGACAGACACCTCACTGCTACACAAGTCCCAAGAACAGGCAGGATTTCTGCTTTCCTTATTGACAGACTTGGGGATCTGCCATCTTTCAGTGCTGATTCCCACTCCTAGCCACCTAAGGGTCTCCATTTAAAGACAGAAATCTCCAGCACCTAACCAAGCCTTGCACTTTCTATGCACAGAGCTGGGTAGCACCAAACGTGCACCTGTGTGCATGCTCAGCAGTCCCATGCCTGAGTCCTTTTTTTGGAGCAAGGCCTTAATCTTGCCATGCTTCAATGTTGACACACGGGGGTGATAACACCCTCATATATCCCCCCACGTTGTCCATCTTCTGGGTTCAGACTGCAAGTGTGTCAGGCCAGGGACCATCTCTTATTATATATATGCCTTGTGTCTGCTCCCATTTGAAGCCCCTGGTGATACTCTAACAGTACTACATTTTCTCGCATACCCCATGGCCCCAAACAGGACACATCCTTTGTTTTTGGAAGGCAAAGTGCAGAAGAAACGATTTTCCCAGGCTTCCCAGGCTGGCTTTTTCATGGAGAGGCTGTGCTGCCCAATGCCTGCCAGCTTCTCTTTCAGCCAGCAAAGAAGAGGAGCCTGCCGGACCCACAACTGTCCAGCATTAACCCTTTCACAGCCACTTTCCAATAGGCAGCAGATTTTGGCTGCTCAGACGGCTCACAGAGAAGCTGGCAGCCCTCTTGCAGCACCGTGTCTTCGTGCGCCTACTCCATCTTGCTCCTATTCCAGTGAGGAAAGCTGGCTTCCTTGCATTAGACATGCATCTTGATTTTAGAGAGCTGTTTTTCGGGGGAAAGGCACGTGTGATATGGTAATACCTACAAAACACTACCAGCCGGATGAAGATACCGCAGGTCAACAGTCGCCCTTTAAATTACCACACACCAAACAAAACTCATGTGCCTTCTTACTGAGACGCTATCCCCATTCAGGGTTTGTCCAGCTCTATTGGCACGCTCCCATTGAGAAACATGGAAGGATCCCTTTCTCCATAGGAAATGAAATCATTCACAGGCTCCTATTAGCGAAGTGAAGGCTGGGAGGGGACCCAGAAAAACATCAGCAGGGAGAGACAGGAGCTATTTATGCTAAAGGATACAGCTGGCACCATAGGAAATAGGTCTGAACTGGCTGGGAATAAATTTAGGCTGGAAATCAGGAGGAGGTTTCTAATTGCCAGGAGAGAGAGGATCTGGAAGTGCCAGCCAACAGAAGGAACAGGAGAAAAACACCTAACTGCTTTAACATGGTGTTGGATCCATTTTAGAAAGGATTTAGGAACCAGCTCCTTGAGAGATTCAGTGAACGGCAAGTCCCGCCTGCCCGTATGCTCCCAGGTCAGACGCTGAGAGTAATGCTGAGCGACTGATTCATCCATTCTTTTTAGAAAATATGACTTATATGCAAAGAAGTCACTGGCCTCCAGGAGCGTCAGAAATGCAGCTGCTTTTCCGTGCTCCCAAGACAGTAGTGAAACACCACGTTCACAGCGTTGTTTGCCCCCTGTATTTGGAGAGGTGAAGGATCCTGCCCCGGCTTCTGTGTCAGGTGATCAAATTATATTTGCATGAATATGACCAAGGCTGTGGGTCACACATGGATTCAAGGGGGTCATGCCCGAATTATCCTGAGCTTAATGTGGGTTTTCTCTGGCCTCTTTCTGCGGGAAATAGCACACCTCGCCTTGCATGTTGTATTCTCACACGTGGACATCTTTCACTAAATGCTGAGGTTGTGCTAAGATGATCTCTTTGTCTCTGAGTAAATTCACTGCTGTGCAAGGGCCAGCGCAAGGTCTGTGTACCGTGTAAGTCCCAAAGAAACTCTCCAAGTGGATGAATGTCATCCTCCACGCGCGCGTACAGCAGGTGGCTCTTGTGGATGTACCGTGTAGCCTTGAAAATTATCTTGAAGAGAGCTCGACAGGGCTAATATAACTAATGCCTCTGCGTAGCTCTGCTAGCTGAACTCTGCTGGGGCATGGAGATGATGAGTTATTTAATGGCCCCTATATGTTTCTGAGCAATTTGTTTCCACCAGATACTTACTCGGATAATGAAGCCAGATTAGATTTATCATTTGAGCTTCAAGCCAATCAAGTCAAATAGAGTGACCTGGAGATAAAGATGGGAATCTAAGCAAGCAGTCATTTGCATGCTGCTACCATGCTGTTCTTTGCCATAGATGTTTGAGAGAGGATAAACTAGGTAATATGAGAGTTGACTCCTTTTACGCTTTATATGCGAGGCTGTCAGGATGGGCCGTGCATAGGAAAATATGCCGCACGCTTACAGAAGTCAGCAGATACAAATTTGTTAGAGACAAACTCAATCTGACAATACTTGTGATGTGTCAAAAGCCCAACCAGAAAAGTATCAATTAAAATTTCTCTCTCATCATGAATTGAAACTCTGGCAAGATCTCAGCTAAAGCTGAAATCCTATCAAGAGTATTTCAGAGGGAAAAACAGCCAGAATTGGTACAGCAACATAAAAACTAACATACACCATGGTCTGCCAGCAATAGAAAAAAATTAAACAAATTAGCATCAGCTCTGAGAACCAGCTTGAAAACTGTTAATCACTTTACAACAGATACATTGCCTGCCTATTAAGTATGTATAGAGTCAGTGATATCCTAGCAACAGCATTAGTGTATCGATCATCTGATAGCAACAACACTTGCCCATAATAGCATCTGGATGCATACAGACATCATTATCAGTGATTAGGGCACACACAAGCAGCCGGAGGGACAGAAGTGATCACCTTTGTCTCTATTAACACCAGATCACTTGAGATAACAGAGGACTTTGGTGTTTTTGGAGCAGACACTTATAAGTTAAGTTCCCCTATACCGCTTGTCTTTGGTCACAAGATTACTCATTTGATTGTTCCTTCTCTTTGCAAATTCCTTGTGAATTATCACGATCTTCCTGCATTTCTTTGTTACTTGAAACTGCTGAGGGAATAATACTTATCAGCATATTCAGGTTGGTAAGTATTAGAAGTCATGAGTTGTTCATACTGAGTGCTCCTTCAGATATTCAACGGGTAGGACTTGGCCGGCGTGACTGGTCATGGAAGTGGTCTGGTTACACTTTCTGTATTATGATTCAATGACCTAATCAAGGAATTGTCACCTTTTTGCCCGTGTCTTAAGTAGAATGACTCTCGTGGGTATTTCACCTCCCATATTTACCATATCGACCAGGGGTAGGCAACCCCTGGCGCAGGAGCAAGAGTGTGATACTCAAAGGCACTTTGCTTGGCACGCGTGCCTCTGTGTGGATGGCGGGGAAGGGGCTGGGGCTACATGGCCACAACAGGGATCAGGCCCCTGGTGGCTCCCCCGCCATCCACCCTTGGCATGCCAACATCTTACAAGTTGAAGTGGCAGGTGTTTTTTGCACTCTGCCCAAAAACATGGCCTGCCCCTGATACAGACCATCCCAGGAAAGGGGAGAGGGAGAATGATAAAACATTCAAGAAAATGCCCTTCTAAATCAAATAGATACCAACTATCCATCACTGCTGCTCTACCTTTCTGTTACTGGTTGGCAAATTCCTTGTAACCATACAATAAACGTGTGGTCTAAGCAAGAAGCTAAGCGATGGGTGTGATCAGGGGCGGATCGGGTGGGATGCAGGAGGGTGCAGTGATGCAGTTGCACACCCCCACTGTGATTTCTGCTCAACCTAAATTTAAAACCAACTTCCTGGGAGGGGGAGGGGGAGAGGCATTCCTAGTTGGGCAGCGGTGGGAATCAATTGACCTCACGGCTCATAAGAATCAACCTGATGCTTTCTAAGCCCTTCAGTCCACAGGTGTTAACACCCCTCTCCCCTTTTTAATGATCATGATGTTCCACTGATCCAGCAATCCTTTCTTCTGCTAATCTGCTGTCTATTAGCTGCTCCTGGTAATACAATTCCTATATCAAAGCTCTGTAGACTGTTTTTAACTCTAGCTAAACACATTGACTCAGGCATGGAAATATTAACTCCGTTGTGGAAATAACTTTCAGTGAAATACTGGATGGACTGTCAAGATGCTCAAGAAGGTTAGATGTTGTTTGAATCTGAAAGAGATGTACATTTACTTCTAATGACTACAGGTCTAATGAAACAACATCTTTTGATTATTTTTTGTGCGTTTTATATTTAATCTAGGATGTAGCAAACAAACGCGCAGCCCAATAAAGCTGTGTTTGTTTTTGTTTCAATCTTAAACAGAAGAATATAACCCTGGACTCCTAGATGATTAGTAAAGCTTCTAGTTTCTTT